GAGGGTGAAGACATCTTTTATTTTTCTTTGTCTTCTTTCTTTTGTTGTTTGTAGGTTTTTTTAGTTTTGTATTAGTTTTTATATATATAAACTTTAATAGAAATGTTAAAAAAGACCTTACATATAAAACACAATAAAATCAATTTAATAATTGATTTTTATTTTTTTTATTTTTTTATTTAATATAAAATGTATAAGACTGCCCAACTCACAATGACTCTTGGTGGCATGCTGATTAAAAGCAAAACCCCATACATTAAGACAAATAAAAGATAGCAATAACTAGGGAATCAACATACCCTAATACATTAGCGTAAATCACATTCAGGTAGATGCATCCCTCACCTAACCCAGGGTGTGGGGAAAAAGCCAACTTTTCAAGGCTTATTTGAAGGACAGTAATTATATCCAGGGATATACAATTTCAGAGGGCAGTCACTGTGATAGAAGGCACACTTCCTGTGTACCATCAGATAGTATTCCTTTAAGAATAGGACCTGTAACATGCTTACTCTGTTAGATTTTATAGGATGGGCAGAGATAATGGGAGAGAGGCAGTCCTTCAAATAACCAGTCCCTGTGCCATGAAGGGCGTTATAGGTAACAACCAACATATTGAATTGTACCTGGAAGCTTACTGGTAACCAGTGCACCTCATGCAGTAAAGTGTTACACAGATATACCAAGACAAGCCCATAACTGTCTGCACTGCTGCATTTTGGATCAATTGCAGCTTCTGAAGGGTTTTGAAGGGCAGTCCCATGTAGAGTGTGTTACATGTGAGGTTAATATTGCATGAATGACTACAAAAAGGGATTCCTAGTCCAGTAAGAGGTGCAATTTGCACACCGGTTGAATCTGGGCAAATACCCTCCTGTCCATTGTTGCCACCTGTTCATTGACTGGAGCTGCAAATCCAGGAGGACCCCTGAAAATGCATACCAGTTCTGTCTGAGGCAGGGTCACCCAATTCAGAGCTAAAGATGAAAAAATGGAAAATCCCAGGTAGAAAATTATAAATACAGTATAATTCCTGATTAAATTAATGTTAAAGGTAATAAGATAAAATTTATTGAATATGGCACCACTAATTATAATTGATCCTTAAAGGCCTTCCAGAAGGCCTGTGTTTTCACCTGATTCCAGAAGGCCATGAGTCTGGGGGCCATTCTTGTCTTAGGAAACAAGCTATTCCAAAGGAGGGAGTTTCTACAGAGAGTGCCCACTGTTGAGCCCCTTCCTGCTATGCTATACCACCTGGTAAGTGGAGATCCTTAGCAGGCACTCCCTAGTTATCCAAGTAGGATGGGCAGAAATTATTGGGGAATGGCAGTCTCTAAGGTACCCCAGCCCCAAGCCATATAGGACTTTATAGATAGTGACTAGCATCTTGAATTGCGCTGGGAACCCTACTGGTAATCAGTGCATCTTCTGCAACAGATATATAACATGGTAATATTGTAACTGACTACTGAGCGTGAGTGCTGTTGTGTTCTGGATCAGCTGAAGTTTCCAGGTAGTCTTCAAGGGCAGCCCCATGTACAGTATATTATAGAAATCTAGAGACAACAAGGGCATGAATGATCCTCTTCAGCACATAATGTTCCAGGTAAGGCCATAACAGGTGCATCAGCTAAAGCTGTGCACCAGCTCTCCTGACCACAATCTCTACCTGTTCTTTGAGCAGTATTGTAGCTGTAATCCCAGAGGAGCCCCGGATTACAAGTTTGTTTTTTGGGGAGAAACACTGCCTCATCAAGAACCAAAGAAGGTGCAATCTTGAATCAGTCTCTAAGTCAACAGCTACTCCATATTGCTTGGCTTGAATCTGAACTTGTTTTTTCCCATTCCAATCCTGATAGTTTCTGCACACTGGGTCTTGACTTCCACTACATCTCCCAACAGACCCAGAATGAAGATGTATCACTGAGTAGCATCTGCATATTGATGATACTTCACCCTGAACCAATGGATGACCTCATCCTGTACTTTCATGTAGATATTAAACAGGGTTGGGAAAAAAACTGAATCCTGAGGCACTCCATAAAGAAGTTCTCATGGTACCAATCTCTACCCCTCACCCCCAGCTAGCCTATCCTTCCCTCAAAGGGTCCAGGGCACTTTGAACAGTGTAGCTGGCTAATATTCTGCAGACTCAGTAAGGGAGGAGAAGTAATTATGCTTTGCCACCTTTATTGTCACAAAGTAGACTTTTATCTGAGCTCTTATGTCCAGTCACATTTGCTTCTTGTTATATACCAGTGTCACTTCAGGCATCTCTTAACTCACTTCATTTCCCAGAGCTCCTCATTACTAAGTACAAGCGTGGGATTTACAAACTGCTTAGATCTTTTTGTGTTAAATATGGCCACTGGCAGAGACTACCCTGGGGGTTTCATCTAATGGCCTGGACTAGGTACTAGTTCCATTTTCATAGGCGACATTTCCTGTAGATTAGCCCATTAATTGCTCCATTTTCAAACTGATCCTCAAGTAGAGAGCAATTATTTTCCTGGTCACCATCCAAATCACTAAACTCACAAGAAATTCACATCAAGTTTTTTACACCTGATTCCTCAGATTCTCTTGCTATCTAGTAGTCAATAAGTCTGGTAAGGTAGATAAAGAGATTGGTGGTTTCCTCAACATCCCTGCTCATCCCTGTTTCATCTTTGCATGAAAATACTTTGTCAGAAGCCCCCCAAGAGGACAGCATTTGCCACTTGAAGGTTTTTTAATCAAATGAGTGGCCAGTTTACACACTCAGCCTTCTGGGTTTTCAAGGGGGAAACAGCCAGCTTCTTTATGATGTATAAACATGCATCAATAAAGACAGTAATCACCTTGAGAAAGTACAATCTCTGTTCCTGAGGGTAATTTTTGGTATTCTCCATTGTGTTCCAAATGCTACACTCTGAATTGAAGCTGTCTTTATTTCAAATTTGGTAAAGCAGACTTGTGTATTTGCCTAGGCTGATAAGTTGTCTAGAGGGCCTAGCTGCCTTAACTCAGTATGAACAACATCACTACAGGTGGATAATGTCACTGGAATCAAGACCTCTTAATCTTGATGAGGTCTTTCTCCATCTCTTATAGCAGCCGTTGGATATTCAGTAGTCAGGTAAATTAAAAAAGCACATGTGGGACATGAAATGTCATTAGCAGAATCACCTATTGTTGTGAAGTTGAAAATGCAACTAAAATGTTCATGTTTTTAGTTACTTTTTATTAAGCACCGCTCTGCCTTTTCTTTGTCCATGTCTTTCTGCATTTACTGAGTCAGTGGCACAGGTACAATTGTTCTGTTCTTGCTACAGGAACTCCTGACATTACTCCTAACATCTCTTCTGAGCACATATAACCTATATACTTTTTACATAAGATTCCTCTTATCAAATTTAAACAAGGTGCCATCTATACATTTTGCCTCTAGGATTATGGCTATTACAAAATAAATGATTCGACAGATACTATAAATGTGGACTCATATGCTTGAATTTAAGTTCGCCACTGTCACATCTATTCCAACCTTTGATTTTTTTCTTGATCATACCTGTTGGGCATTCTTTTTCTCTTCCACATAATTGACTGAATTAAATAAACTGAATCTACTAATAATAGTTACTATTAGCATTGCATTTTTTTTATTATACCATATAATTTAGATTGTTTGATAGCTGACTATTTTTGTTTTGTTTTATTCATTTATGTTACTCTCTTTTATATTCTACATTGTACAGCCATATAGCCTTTAGGATCTTAATATTAGCAGTAAATAACATTCTTATAATTAGATCTTAGTGTTTTACAGTTTTGTACTTCTGACTCCTATAACATTGATTATAAATATTGATATTGTTACTTTATAACTTAAATTGCAAATACTGTAATTTCATGTATCATGTTGTATGATATTAATGAATTCCTCTTGTCATAAAATCTGTGAGATCACAATATAGCCTAGAGTTTTTGATCTGGTGACTATTTTTAATCTAGTTTTCTTTTATCTCATTTATTTTATGCCATTCTGTTTTACTGTTTAGGTTGTATGATATTTCAATGTTTATACTGTCAATAATAAGAACAATTCTTAGATCTTAGTGTTATAAAGTTTTTCAGTTCTGTTAGTAATCCCTATAGTTATGTTATTAATATTTTATGGCTGTAAATCTATATATTTTATACCGGTCTATGAAGGAAATCAATTTTGGATCAGCTGGTAATAATGTCGCTGTTCAAAACTTTCAATTTTTGGACCACCATGGCTTTTTAGCAGATTTTCATAGGAAATTCATACAACATATTATAAGATTTAAAGTGTAGCCTATAAAGTTCACTCTTCAATTCTAAGAAAATTACTTCCTAGTCAATGTTCCATATGCAATACAGTGTTGTAGTTCAAACAGTGATAATGTATTAGAATAGCAATATACAATTAATCCACTCTTTTTTCATTCATATTCCATTACTTAATAAAATATCTTGTCTGTCAAATTGCTATTTGTCATGATATGTGCACCAAGAAAGTATGGTGTGAGAAATTTCTCTAGGTTAGGCTTACAAACAAGAAACAAACTAATCTTGCTGAATAAAAAATTAATAATTACAGCTTCTAAGTTTGTACAGAATATCAAATCAGGAAGCTTCGTATTAAACTGGGCATGTGAGGAGAAGCAGGAAGAAGTATTAATTAAGCAAACTGTGGATTGTTAAATTGAGAATTAAGTAGTTAGACTTCTATTTCCTGCCTTTCTAAAGGTTCTAGATTAAATATTAACATTCATAATTTAAGATTCAGTAGACCTTTTGTTTTGTTTTTTACTCTTGGCAGCCTTTATTTAACAGATTCATACAACTATCAATTTTTGCAGAAAAATATTTATAATAGGACAAACTTTGGATCAAAAGTAAATAAAATACTTAGATTCTTGTGCAGAGAATTTTTATAAAACTTTGAACATGGGATTTAGTAATTATGCTTTTTCACATGCACTTAAAAGACAGCGCTGGATGTTGAAAAGTCAGACGAAAGGTTCAACAACTTTATAAAAACAATAGAAGAGAGAGATCATTATAAATCTGAAGCAGAACAGTTGAAGAAGATGCTTCGAAATACACCAAGTCCTAAGCGCAGCCTCTCAAGTTCTATTTCAAAGGTTCCCTCCCCAATTCAGGTATATATTTTAGCTTTCTTAAAATATAGAATGTATGCATTTAAGCTAGTGTTTTATTGCTTAGTTCTTTTATTTACATTGAAGTCATAAGATTTAAGAAGCCAGTAGGCCTTATTCTCCAATGAATTTATATAGTAAATGTAAAATCTTCAAGCTGAGCTTGAAGAATCCTGGTAAGCTGAAGGATATATCCATGTAGTTTTTCTTGGCAACACTACTGACACGATTTGCCACTGCCTTCTTCTGGGGCACATTTTTTAAAATTACTTCCTCAGTCTGTTTTATAACTCTGGAATTATCTGATGGTATAGCCAGATCTGACTCTGCTTAACTTCCAATTTCCATCCCAATATGTACAAAATGTAGGTACCTTATTTGAGCTTACCTACTCCCTTTAAACATAGTTGCCTGTATTGCAAGGATTGGTTGGTGATGGTTTAGCAAGGGAATTATTGTGCTGTTGGGTACTGGAAGGAATACATGGCATTTGCTCATTTCACCTTTATGGTGAATATTTAAGAGCTATATATATTTCAAATTGTCAATCTAAAGTATATGTTTACTTATGGTAAAATAATAGCATTATGAAACTAATAAAAATATTCAAAATAGTTTGAAACTCAGAATATTACAAAATAATTTATGTACAGTTCTCCCTCCCAAAAAAGAAAGAAAGAAAGAATTTCAAAGTGCTAATATAGAAGCTTAGAATTTTAAAAATAAATTTAAGGTATTAGAAAATTGACATTTTATCTCCATTAAACATTTAGGGAAGTCACTCTGAAACAGAATTTCTGCAAATTTTGAGAGAACGTGAAGATTTTAAGACAATGCTGGAAAAATATGAACGTCACGTTGCAGAAATGCAGGGGAATATCAAAGTTCTCACAGCAGAAAGAGATAAAATTATCTCTCTTTATGATCAGGTAATTTTTGGATAGAGCATTTTAGTAAAAACAATTTTTGATATATTATGAGGGATTATATAAGTTCCAATATATTATAAGATGTCTGCAAAGTATTTAGATCATCTCAAATAGCCTTATAGAGAGTTGCCTTCCCCTAGGATGGACAAGTTGGACTTGTCAATAATGGTCCCTACATTTTGGAATCCCTGTCTTAAGAGATTTCTGTAACTTTATGTTTTAACCAACTTGTTAAACTGTTTTGCTCTTCTGGTCTTTTGATAGTTGATATCTTTTTGTCATCTGTTTATAAAGGAAACATATTTTCTTGTTTTGGACTTTTTCCTCCTTATTTGTTTTATATTATGATATTACCGTATTTTTCCGTCAATAAGATGCCCCCATGTACAAGACGACCCCCACTTTTCCAACCCAAAATTAAGAAATCAATATTTTAAAGATAGTGCAGAACACATTTTTATTTAGTAATTAGTTAACATTTACCTGATACACTCGGTGGGAGGAGGTCCAAACCGTCTCTCTGCAGCTCTGTTTCCAGGCTCTTTTGCATAACTGATTACATTCAAACATGCATGAAACTGCCGATAGCTTGTCTCTGCAAACAGACTTCCTCCAATTGGTTTGTTCAGCATCAGCTGACGTCAGTTACATAAGGCTCA